CTTCGACCTTTTCATAATTCATATGGTGTCTGATTAGTTTTCTTATGAAGCACCTTATTAAGAATATAATTAGTAGATAATAAGGATTCCCCCCCACATGTTTTTGAGTGCTTCCAAACTTGATAACATAACATTTATCATTTTTTTCAATGTTCCATTTTTGCGTTCAACTATGCCATTTGATTGAGGTGAATAGGGGCATTCGTTTGATGAATGATTCCATGTGTTGCACAAAATTCATCGAAAGGAAATTCATATTTACTACCCTCATCATTTCTTAGTGTTTTTATCTTTCTACTAAGTTGATTCTGAACTTTATTTTTATAGTGGTTGAACATATCAATAGCCTCATCTTTACTTATAATTAAGTAAATATAATAATATCTTGTGCAATCATCAATAAAAATAATAAAATACTTTTTACCACCTATTGTTTGCACAAACTTTAAGTCACAAACGTCACTATGAATTAATTCAAAAATTTCGGTATTTCTTTTAATTGACTTGAAAGATGTCTTTACCAACTTTAATTGCACACAAGCCTCACATTTATGATTTGGATCAATAGTCATTTTAGGCAAATCATTCAAATTAACTAATCTTTTAATTACATCATAATTAACATGTCTTAGTCTAGCATGTCACATATTAGAAGACTCAAGCAAATAAGAAGAATTTATCTCATTCTTATTATTAGAAGTTATGGGTACAACATTCATTACATTAAGCTTAAAAATCTCATCACTCTTGTATCTCTTCCCTACAAACATCTCATTCTTTGTAAGTACAATTTGTCAGATACAAATACTAACTTAAAGTCATTCTTGCTATGTAAGGAACCGGATACTAAATTCTTGCGAATATTTGGGACACGAAGCACTTCGTTCAAGATGAGTTTTTGGCCAGATGTCATCTTGTGTATCACCTTTCCATAACCTTCAACCTTTAAAGTAAAGGAGTTTTCCATGTAGAGCTGTTCATCATGCTCTATCTTCTTGTAAGTAGAAAACATCCGCTTATTTGAAAAAATGTGTCGGGTGGCGCCAGTATCAACCCACTAATTCTTGGGGTTACCCACTAAGTTACATTCAAAAACCACTGCAGAGAGGCTCATGTCGGAGACTTAAGCTTGTTCGATTTACTCATGCTTGCTTATGCATTAGGCTTCTTGAAATTCTATGGCCTACAACAATCTTTTGAGATATACCCCAGTTTGCCACAGTTGTAGCACTTGCTCTTGAATTTCTTCGATCCTTGATTTAGACCTTCGACAGTGTGCTTCCTTTTCTTATTAGTTTTGGTTCTGTTAGAGTATGTGTGACTCATATTTGCTGTGTGCATAATGGCAATGAGGCATATGCCGAAGCGGAGCCCGCGACGGCATCTGTCTTGCGGGATTTGTATAAAGGGGACGCTGATTAGTTGGGGGTGCGGGGGCAACGCCCCGCGGTACGGTACAGAGATATTTTTGTAAATACGTCCGTATTAGGATTATATAAATACTTAAGATGTAACCCTACTTTTAATAATGAAAAAGAACTGTCGCTTGCTCTCGTGGATGTAGGCACATTGCCGAACCACGTAAATCTCTGTGTGTTATTTTCTCTTGCTTTCTTAATTGTTTGATTATTTACTATTCACCATAATTACTACACGATCACAAGGTTCCACTTTCAACTATGTTGGTCTTAGATTCCATGGAATTAAAAACTTCACTTTTCTTCAAGAATAATATTTAGTACTACATAGCAAATAGGAAATGCTACGAATTTAAAATTACAAGCAAAATCAAGGCGAGAGAACTGAACAGGCCGAATAATATTTATTTACAAAACCGGCCAGGTTTGATAAAAAGCTCCAAGTGTGTTTCATGACCAAATAGCTTCAATTCAATCCATGGAAAGGGGTGAACACTGAAGTGGCTTTGGAATCCGGCAACACAGCTGCACATGTAGAAACATCAACTCGTTGGACTCCTCCAAGAACCGGTTCATTGAAAGTAAACTTTGACGGAGTAGTATCCCAATCGGATGAAGCTATTGGCATGGGTGTAGTAATAAGAAATGAAAGAGAATGTTTGTGGTTAGATTGTCGAAGAAAATTAATTCTTTTTACGAACCTCAGACAAAGTAGATCTTGGCGGCAAGAGAAGCCATCTTTTTTGCAAGAGAACAGGGATGCGAACGAATTACCTTGGAGGGTGACTCGGCCACAGTTATGAACCTACTAACCGAATCTGAGATAGAGTTTGATCCTATGGGTACTATGGTAGCAGATATTAGCAATGTTCAGCAAGATTTTCGATTTTTTGATATGTCTACTATAAGAAGAATTAGTAATACGGTCACACAATAGTTAACTAAAAATGTAAAGTTTGTTGATTGTTCTGATGTGTGAGAGTAGGTGGCACCTAATTTTATAATGGCCCTCTTCCTTATGGATTTTTCTAATTAACCCAACTCATATCGTTTCTTTCAAAAAAAAAAAAAAACAAGCAACTTGGTCGAAATCTAGATGATTTTTATATCAATATCTCGCAGTTGAACTATCATATGGAGGTGGTGCTAGCTGATTTACTGTCTGGACCAGATGGGCCAAGAGGGCTGAACAAGGCCCTGATTTGTCTGAGCGGCATAAACTGATGATGCCCACCCCATAATTGATGGTGATACTTAATATGGTACGAGTTAAGTTAATGTTAAACAGGAATAATCTAATTCTATTCGACAAACCCTTTGTCAATATAAAGAACATTGCAAACATTTTTTTATTCATTTTTATTTCTTGATCTATCATTTTATGAATTCTTGTAGTGTTCAAAAAAAATTCCGTGATTTTATAAACATATAGATCGAAGGAATTTTAGATTATGAAAAAACTTATGAAATTTGATCCGGTCGAGAGAAAAGTACATTTATATAGTAGATTTTGGTTGTATTTGTTATGAGCGTCATTTCGATCACGACTCGATTAGTAAATCGTATTAATTGCCCTAATCAGTGTTTAAGACATGAACTGGTGATTAATTAAATATATTAGTAATCGGGACAAACATGTAAGGACATGACATGATTCGTTTGTCAACTCTACATGTAGCAAGGCAGCTTTTGGTGACTTGTGCAAACATGCGTGTCATTTTTAACATTGCCAAAGAAAAGCTTCCTTTTGTGTACGTCGTTGTCATCTTGATAATAACTACCCTAATATAAAAAATCATTCAACCAACAAAAGGATCGGACAAAAAACGCAAATAAGAAAGCATCGATAATAGGTGATGGGTAAGCCAATTTCGTTGGATACTAGTGTGTTGCTCTCGCAAGCAGATATCGATTGATATTGAGGACAATGAGAGGTGCGTTTTGAAGCCACAATGACATCCATTGTTGTTATTACTATAGTAGTTTTGAAGATATGAGATTTTGTGAATCTCGGGATAAAATTGAATCAAATTTATCAGCAAACTTTGAAGACAAACAGTCATCATCTGTATAATAAAATATAATATAATTTAAATTTTAAAAGATAAACAAAATAATTTTTATTTTTCGCGATTAAATTCTCTTTAAATTTTACTTTAATATTAATCCAACGACTAATATTAACACTCCAAATTTAATAAGGAAAATAAACTCCTAAAAGTGTGTTTGAGGTTAATTTTTAAAAGTATTTTTAGAACATAAGTACTTTAAATAAAAAAATAGTATTTGGAATCACTCTACGATCACTGCTCCCACGCCACAACTACCACTACCACCACCACCACCACCCCACCACCATCACTACGTCCAACCGCCGCCACCACCACTCCCACTACCACCATAACCACCGGCGCCATCTTTGTCATAACAATCGCCACCGTCGTTGCCACCCCACCACTATCATCCCCATTGACCTACCACCATCACTGCCACCCCCACCATCCCTACAACCGCTGCCACCCCACTACCACCACTATCCCTCAATCACCCCCACCACCCCAACCCCCACCGTCTCACCACCAATCCCTTAAACCATCAACACTATCACCACTACTGCCACCCCACCACCACCACCACCGCTGACACTGCCACTACCCCACCACCTGCCCCAACACCACCACTCCCCCTCATTCCCACCATCATCGCCCCTCACCACTGATAGTTACCACCGTCACCACTTACTACTATTGTCATCTTATTCTTATATTTAATATCACTACCTTCATCACCCACCACCACCATTGTTGTCAACCGTCACCCACTACCATAACCCATCACTACCTATTTTCACCCACCATCGTTATCAACCACTGTCACCCACCCCCACCACACTTACCACCACCACCCGTTATCGTCCACCACTGTCACCATCCACTATCACTCATCCCTAACACACCTACCACCACTCATCATACTGTCGCCCAAAAAAGCACCTATCATCGCCCACCACCACTATCGTCACTGTTACCACCACCGTTGTCGCCTCACCACTACCACTGCTAACTACCATCACTATCGTCCATCACCACCACTGCCAACCACAATCATCGTCGCCCACCACTACCCACAACTACCACCACAAAAATGTCTTCACCCATGACTTCTAATACTATCGTCGTCACCCAAAATTCACCACCACTATCTCCATGGCGACCCATAGTTACCACCCACCATAATCATCACCATTTTTCCACCACCACCACTACTGTCTACCACTACTACCACTGCTCACACTCACTACAATTGATGCTTAAATTTTTTTCGCTCTCTTCTGTGTTTGTGATTTAATTTTAAGTATGAATACAAATATATTTATTATTGACCATTTTTTTTATTACTCTATACAAAAAGGTCAACCAACTGATACAGAAGCTTATGAGAGAATTATTCTACATTGACCTCGTGAACTTTCCTCTCTTCTTCCTTGACCTTGGGAACTATCAATTTCAGAACACCATTCTTCAACTCAGCCTTGATCGGATCAAGCTTGTACACATTCGGAGGTAGTTTCAGCCTGCCCGGTTATATCTGCCCATGCTCATCCTCCTCCGATTCCTTCTCACCTTCCCTTTTCACGATCAGAGTGTTCTGATCCACTGTGATCTTCACCTTGTCCTTGTCAACACCTGACATGTCGATTCGAATGTATAGAGCGTCCTTATCTTCCTTCACGTTCCATCCTCTCAGCGATCCAGAACCCATTCCACAAGGTGATGAGAGAAAAGGGGTCTCCATCATCTGGTCCATTAGGTTCAGGACTTGGCTCAATCTTCTTGTTGAAAAAATGGATCAAACACATCTACATCAAACAATAAAGTTAATAACATATTAAACTTCAAAAAATCTACCAAAAACTTCAGAAAAGAAAAAAAAATGAAGGTCAATAGAACGAAGGAATAGAACAGAGCATAAGTGATTGAAAATTATTCAGCAAATAATCTTTGGGAGAATTGCACTCATACTCCTAAGATTTGTCACTTAATCATTTAGACCCCTTAATATTTGAAAATTATTCAGCAAATGTTCTATTGTATCATATATTAAAATAAAATAAAAAATAAAAATTCAATTTTTTTGTTAAAAAATTGTAATTATTATACAATTATATTATCTATTGAAATTTAATTTGGTCGTTTAAATAACCAAATTAAAATACCGAATTATCCCAATTAAAGCTAAAAGATATTGTTTCTATTACAATTTGACCCATTGTTTAATTTTATTTTTTTTATTTTAATAAATAGTATAATTATATACTCACTATGATTTTTTTAAACAATTAGATTTTTATTTTTGATTTTATTTCATGAATTTTGGATGTAAAATTCATGTTCTATTATGAATGACTTGGACTACTTATTTGATTTTTTAGTTTTATTCTAGTAGATAGTGTAATTGTATACTAATTAGGATTTTTTAATAAAAAATTAAATTTTTATTTTTAATTTTATTTCAACAAATAATATAATAAAACATGAATTTTAGTTGTAAAATTTAAAATATTTGGTATTTTATCTTTGATTGGAATATTTTTAGTTTAAATATAATATTTTAAACTTAATGAGTCTAAGTATTATATACCTAAAACTTCAGAGGGTTTTAAGTGTAATTTATTAACAGATATATTTACAGCAAAGTTTAAGTGTTATGTGCGTATAAATTTTAGGGATTGAAATAATTAAGTGACAAACTTAGAGTGTCTAGGGGTATCATATGTTTTTGCCTAACTGACGTTTTTGGCCCCTCCACTAAAAATGTCAGTCAAACTGACATGTTTTTGCTTAAAAATGTTATTTTAACTAATTTTTTTTAATCTAAAAAATGTCATTTCAAATGATGTTTTTAAAAGTACATGAATTTAAAAAGTAATTTGAAAATAACTATCTATTAGGTATATTTTTGCACAACCCATGTTGGGATAAAAGCTCATATGTGTGTGTACGCAGAAAACTAAAAACAAAAAACAGGAGAGAGAGAGAGATGACGAAAAAAAGTTGAAAAAACAAGTGGGTAGAGCGAGAATACAGTTACTGAATGACGGATTGGGAAAGAGGAAAGAGGAAAGAGGAAAGAGGAAAGAGGGAAAAGTGGACAGTGGCTAGAAGAAAGTCTTCCACATTTGTAATGCCTTCCCCATTTACTGCCCTTTTACATCTCGTGCCTTCTACGTTTGCATGACATACATTCCATGCATATGATTTTAGTCCACATGTTCTCCCATTTGGCATTAAGGGCGACCAATTTCAACACAGTCATAGCTCGGCAAATTTTGCACAAAGAGTCATTTCGTGCAAATCAATAACCGTAATTTTTGCCAGAGTCGCTATAACGGTAAAATTAAATTGCCGCAATTTGTCAATTCCAAAAGCAACAGGACAATTGCTGCATCGACAAAAATAAGTATAATTTCAACAAATTCCAAGAAAAATTGCAGGGCAGTCGTAGCACCGGCTGCCGTAAATTCTGCTAGTTCCAAAGAAGTCACAGTCTATGCAAAGCATTCTATTGTTCAGTTCAAGGTGGACACTTGTTTCACACATACGTGTACCAACTTGAGTAAAAGTGTTAAAAATATGAAATTTAGTGAATCATGAGATCAAATTGAATCAAATCTACCAGCAAACTTTGATGACAAACAGGCGCCATCATTAATATGGCTGAAGACTTTTGTACTCCACCCACCCTATAAATATAAGTGCTCTCTCCTTGTATCAAACACTCAACCACAAATGTAATTGATTATCAATAGTGATAGCCCTGTCAGTTGTGTCTATGGATGTAGGCCTAGATAAATCGAACTTTGTAAATCTTTTTGCCTCTTCTCTTCTTCCATTTTAAATCTTCGGTCTCTCTCCATACAAAATTTAACGGTAGAAACCAAACATGCATGAGAATTATCAATTGGAAGGAGAATCGAGGATTAATGTTATTACTTGGGATAAATCCGAATCAGCAGGATGATATGTCGAAAACTAGCACCTTTGTTGATAAAATTCGTGGCCGGCCTTAGCAGATTATCCATTTTTTTGTCTTCTTAGTGGGCGGAATAAGTTTCCCATACCAATTACAGTATAGTGATGAGATTAAACAATTAATTATATTTTAATTTATAATGGTGATTATAATTAATCAACCATTTTATCTTATTCTTATTGCATTATGTTTGGATCAAGGTCAGTATAAGATGCGGGTCCATCATTCTAATGTCATTTGGATTATGTATTAAGTTCAAACAAATAAAAGTATCATACATCAATGTGTAACTCTTTGGAGTATAAGAGCTTTTTTTTTCATTAAAAAATTGATCCCATATCGTCATTTTAGTTTTTGGGGCTATAAAACAGGAGCTACCCACTTGTTTACAGCGCAGACACACACACGTACACAGAGAGAGAGAGAGAGATGGGTTCCTTGTTGCAAAATGAGAACTCTCGCCCTCATGCAGTGTGCATACCATTTCCAGCTCAAGGCCACATAAACCCCATGTTCAAACTAGCCAAGCTCCTTCACCATAGAGGCTTTCACATCACCTTTGTCAACACAACATACAACCACCGGCGACAACTTAATTCCAGGGGACCCGACGCCCTTGACGGTGTCCCCTCCTTCCAATTCGAGACCATTCCCGACGGCCTCCCACCTTCCGATGCTGACGTCACCCAAGACGTCCCATCCCTCTGTGACTCCACCAGCAAAAACTGCTTGGCTCCCTTTAGAGACCTTCTCTTCAAACTCAACAATAGTTCTTCCTCTGGTATCCCTCCGGTCACCTGCATAGTTTCCGACGGCGTTATGAGCTTCACTCTCAAAGCTTCGGAAGAAGTTGGTATCCTAATGTTCTATTTTGGACTACCAGTGCTTGTGGTTTCATGGGTTATGTCCAGTATCGCCAACTAGTCGAAAAGGGTTTTGTCCCACTCAAAGGTATGACATATAACTAGCCAAACCCTCTTTTCTGGTTCCATGACATTTACTCAAACTTTTTTTTTTTGTTTAATTGCGCGGGAGATCCTAAATTATAAAATTTGTCTCATTTTGGTACCTAGTATTTCTTTTGTATTATTGTCGTACTTTAAATATTGAATATATTTTTATATGGTCATTCAAAAAGACAACGCTCATATTGTTAATAATTTTTTATTATATATTTTTATGTAATACTTAAATATGAACAAAAAATAAATTTGATAGTTCTTAAACAAAATTTGGGTAGTTCTTAACAAAAAAATGTGTAATATGGATAGCTTTTAACCAAAATTTAGATAACTTATGATCAAAACTGTATAATTTGGGTATCTATTTTATCAAAATTTGAGTAAAAATTGGTCAAAAATTATCTAAATTATTTTTTTATTCATATTTAAGTATCACCTGACAAATTTATGATAGAAAATCGTTAGTAATCTAGATGTTATCTGCTTGAAGAACCATAAAAAAACATATTCAATATTTCAGGATCAAAATTATGCAATTAAAATATTAGGAACTAATACGAGATAAATCATATATTTTCGAATCTCCAATATAATTAATCCTTTTTTTTCGATCAAAAATGTATTTAAAACATGCTTTTGAAGGGTTTTTTTTTTCAGTAAAAGGGTACTTTTAAAACACCTTTTTATATGTTTTCAATACACCTAAGTTTTGAAAAACCATCGATTCTTTGATAAGTGTAAGAGAATAATTTTTTTACAGTCCGTATGTAAACTCTTAGTTACAGGTTATCACTCATAATGATACATCATCTTTTTTTAAATTAAACATAATAACCAGACTTCAATTACCTGTACCCCTTTAACTCTATAACATTTGTCTTGAATCTTGTGAGGAGTTTTCTTTAGTTGAGTTAACAATTATTGGGTTCCAGTTTACTAACTCACGGGTGAAAATAATCCAAAAAAATAATAAAAAAATTTAAAAACAAAAGTAAGAGTCTCACTACAACATAGACGAACGACACAAACGTCTCCAACCAACTGCTCTTCGTCTTCTCTTACTTTTGTTTACAGTAAGCCTTTAAACTTTTAGTTTACAAGCAACCACTCATATTATGAAACATCATCCATTTTTAAATCAAGCACTACTAATCGGTCTTCAATTACTTGTACCTTTTTAATTTTATTACATTTGTCTTTGATCTTGTGAATAATTTTTTTTACTTGCGTTAACAATTGCTGGGTCCCATTTTACGAACGTTGAAAATAAATCAAAAGAATAATAAAAAAATTTGGAAACAAAAGTAAGAGTCTCACTCCGACACAGATGAAGGACACAGTTTTATCCGGCGGCTGATACATAGTTTGGTATCAAACCCACAAAAGCCATATCAAAAACTAGACAACAAAGACAAAAAATTAAGAAAACATAGAAGAGGAATATTTTGGCCGGAGAAAACGAGGAGTAGTCGCCGGATAAGACGAAGAATAGCCACCGAAGAAGACGAAGAGCAGTCGCCGGGGAAGTCTGTGTTGGAGTGGGACTCTAACTTTTGTTTTCTAAATTTTTTTATTATTCTTTTGGTTTATTTTAACCCGGGAGGTGGTACAGGGGATCCAATAATTATTGAATAATATTATTTGGACCTAAAAATCTGATTTAATTTATTGACATAATAATGTGACTTCAGTAAAATTATTAGATCAACACCAACTTTTAATATTTAATGGATCTTACAATTAATCTAAAGATCATAGTGAATTAAGTCGATAAATTAGATCAATAAATTAGGTCTCAATAGTATCGCTCATTATTATTAACCGAAGTGAAGAAAAC